CATTTAATTGATCACATAAATGAGGAATGGGAGGCAAATAATATACGGCATGTAGAAGCAATTGTTAATAATCTAGACTGTGTCTATACTATTCTCAAAGATATTGAAAAGGCAAAAGGTAAAAGATTACATACTACAACTTGGCATGGATCAAAACCTTGGACTTTGTATCTGTAAGCCAAAATATAAAGATTTGAATTAGTATATCAGATATTAGGATTTTAGAATCAAAAAGAAAATTAACATTTATAAATTGATTTCTTTCATTTTTAATTCGTTTTTAATTCACCATTAAAGATCGATTTAGTTATTATTATTATTTTGTATTTTTGTATTTATTCTGTTTTCTGTAAAGATAATATATTTGTTATTAATAAACAATGATATTAAGTAAAAAGCATATTAAATAAAGATCTAAACACCTAAGTACTTACTAATTTTTTGGTTTTGGCAACTTAGTGCTAGTATTGATTGACAAGTAAATAATGTACGTAAAATGTTACATGAGGGCATTGGTTCAGAAATCACGTGAGCGGAAAATCGATCCTCTGTCCTGTCAATCTGGTTGAAAACTGAGTACTTTGAAATCTGACCAATCAGATTTTAGTACCTAAGTATCTTTTGTGTTGAAAACTAAGTACTGACCAAATTTGGTTTAATAATAGTAACGCCTATTACTTTATTTAGATATATTTAGTAAACAGATTGTTTGATAACGCAAGTTTACTCTCTTATCAAAAAATTTTTGTACATATTTAATTAGACTAAAAATAATCTAGTAGATTTTTTTTAATAATAAAAGAACTTGAAATGAAACTAGAACCTTTACGATTTATTCATTTTAAAATCTTGAAATTAAGGTCTGGCGATCTAGTATAGTGAATAGGTTGTCAAACTACCATGCAATAGGTTTGGAGTTCAAATCCTTCAGTCGACACTTTGAATAATTACTCAAACCTTGTATCTAACTTACGGTAAACTCTGTTTGTTTCTAGGGTTATAACCCTGTAAATCATGTTGTACTAATATTGTCTGGATATTGGAAGTATGACAGAATGCTTGAGTTGCATTATATGAATAAATCGAGATAGAATCTACGAGCAGAGGACCTGCATAGTAGAAATCC